GTTCACACAGAACGAGGCGTCCTACCCAAGCACGGCATTCACACAGAACGGGGCATCCACCCAGAGCAGACGGGCTCCATACCAGATTGTCCCCCAAAAGTCTTGGCATACATTTCGATAACCCAACAGGCAGTATTACCTGTGGGCGGGGCCAAGTCTCTACCACTATGCTGGCCCTACCAGGTTAACTCTTTGGTTAAGTAAACAAAAAAAAAATTCTATGTACAAATTCTTCAGAACAAGTAAACAGCGATCCGGCCTCTATCATATTTTCATGGGAATGGATATCGTAAGATGAGTACATGTATACACCATGAATGTTTACTTTCTCAAAAATGTAATGGTAATATAAGTTCTTTAAGCCTTATAGCTTGGAGAGAGGCAGACTTTCTTTTCCTTTAAACAAACACTGACTTGAAAGTAATAATTAACTGAATAAAGTAAATCCTTGTCATCTTCATTGCTTCTCCTAATGGCAAGTGTCACATCACGGGTCTGTGCTTCCAGTGGGTGAGGTCACAGTGAATAGTTGAAACTGGGGTGCCACAAGACAAGGACAAGTCAAGCCACAAAACAATACCCAAAGTTTGCAAATACAATAACAAAATATAATAACTTAATTCAATTCAAAATATGATACATGTATATATTTACAATTACTTCCAATCATAAATTTTCATAAAGGTCACTCAACAGGTATCAGCTATTACAATGGTCCAGCTGACACCCTATACTTCCCTCAGGTGATAAATGTTGCTGGCCTTCTAGAAAGGGTATCCCCAGGGCAGTGGACGTTCACACAGGGCCAGAGTCCTCCAAGAGTTGAAAACTTTTAATTTAGCCTTTCTGTTATCAAAAGCCGGAGGTGAGTTTACACAGGACAATTGAATACTGCAGGAAAAAAATTATGACAGCAAGCTATACTGTCTTGTTCAAATTCTCAAATGTTATTTGGCCGGGTCTCAGAAACTGAGAGGTTCAACCTCTCAAGTTCTTTCAGTACCTCGATAATCCTCCAGACATTAATCACTTTTCTAACATTCAGTACATTTTCACCAACCCTCCAGGGTACAGTGCTACTCTGCTAAAGCAGCGACTGTTTTGGCAGAATGCATGCAGTGGATTCCTGCCCCACAGTAGTGTTAAGGTTGGGGACAGGGATTTGGTTGGGTAGCATGAATATTTGATAGTACATGTATATTAAGGTAGGGATTTGCTGGGATAAAAAGAGGATGTGGTAAATGGAATGGGAATTACCCATACTGTATGCACACATGTAGACCAGTCTTGTAGAATTAAATAAGCATCCATTCCTGTATCGGTTAAGTCCAACCCTCGGATGGGGGCTGTGCTATGGGATTATGGTTGGGCGGGGAAGGGATTTGGTGGGATGGAATGGGAATTAGGGAGGATGAGGTGGGAATTTTTTAGTGTGGGATGGGAATTTGTTAATGTTGGGTGGAGATTTTGTGGGTGGACGGAAATGTGGTTGGAGCAAGTGAGGCTAGGCAGTAATAGTGGTTCATTAATCCTAACAGTCCTCAGTCCTCCAACCGGTGAAGGATTGAAGACTGTTAGGGTTACCAATTGTACATACTCTAATGTTTTTGTATTTTTATTCAAGATTCACCTTGAACTGGGTCAAATATTTAAATATTAGATAGTATCACACCAAACAACCATATCCTATGGAGGACAGCAGTAGATTTTATTGACAAATGAGAACAGGTAATAAAACTGAAGACAGCGAAATTGTTTGACTTGAATTGTAATATGTACATTCTACAAAAAGAAATTACACAGAAATAGTTACGACAAAAATACAAAAAGGGCACACTTGATATTGAGCTAAACACCAGTTTTTATCCCTCTATTTTAATTAATGGAGAAAAAATATGTTACAACCTTCATTCAGGAGAGGGTTTAGGAAACTCGGTCCAAGTCCAGTGGTTGTCTCATGCATGGACATGGTTGTCCAGTTGTCACCAACTGTTGACTTTTATATACAAACCACCCCTAGGCTTTCCAATTTCCAACTCTGCTCCAAACAGATCCAGTACGTGTACATATAGGGCTATAGGTCTATTCTCTGATTAGTGAGAGCCCTTCTACTCAGGAATTTGCAAGGGAGTTGGGTGTTCACTCTATCTGAGAAGTGGTGAATGAGTTGGGAGTTCACTTCACACAGGAGTTGGTAAGTAGTGGTGTGAGCCCAATTTGCTTAAACATCCAACCTCATTAATATCCCTACACAGAAAAGCCCTTTAATCACTTGCTGCTGGGGAACCCAGCTTCCGGTAACTTGGGTTTGTACATACATGCATAGCTGGGTTACCTGAAATTGGACTAAAGAGCTGGGCTTTGTAACAAAAGACTGTACTCGGAACAAATGACCGAGCTGCTGGAACATTTTTCCAGTTGAAAGTTTTGAAGCTTATACCACTGTTTGTGGCATTCAGTGTGAGCACATTACCACCGGGGACAAAAGCGCTCCAGTACTCCAGTGATGAGCGATACAATACCACTGCACGCTAATCTGGCCCCTATTGAAAAAACGCCAGCAGTGCACTGTGCCAGTTTCGGAAACAAAAGAAACTCGTAACTCCTCTCAATCTGGGCTCTTTTTACAAGGCTGCAGGCCTGCCTGAAATACTTGGGCATCAATAGATGTTGTCTGTCAGATTAGAGTAGCCACCAGACATGGGGTTTAGGCATTCAGGAAAAAAGATATGAATTTTTGAAGATTTTTGTAAACTGAAGATATTGAAAGTCGCTTGGTTTTAGACTCTGCTTTTTCAAAGGCACCCAACAGGAAGTGGTTAGGAAAAGCTTAAATAAAATTGTCTGTCATAGTAAACTCCCTACAGTCTCAATTTTTACATTGTTATGAAACACTCGATTTTGTTCCATTTTCAAGCTCAATATATTGTACCTTGCTTGTATCAAGCCCAACCTTAAATTGGATTTAGAAAGTTCAATTCTCAAAACTAACTTCATACCCTAAACTTGGGCAACTGGAACGCTATCATTTTCTGCAATAAATCTATTATTCAATTATTCTTTGTTTACTCTGTCATATAAATAGCTAAGTGTTTTAAATTAAGATAAATAAAATAAACTCAAAGCTTGCAGTTTCTGGTGTGAACTGGCCTTACCACTACCGCAGTGATGAGCCACACAGCACCACTGCACGTTAATCTGGCCCCTATTAAAAGAGGTCAGCAGCGCACAGTGCCAGGTTCGTGAACAAAAGAAATTTATATAATACAGCACAATCTGGACTGTTTTTACAGGCTGCAGGCGTGGCTGAAATACTCGGGCGTCAATAGATTATGTCTGCCATGCTAGAGTGGCCACCAGAGAGTGATTTGTGTGGGTGTAAACGTCCATTAAATGAAATGATGAATTCTTGAAGATTTTTGAAACCTGAAAATCTTGAAAAAGTCCTGATTATGTGCACTGCTTTTTTCAAACCGCCCGGCAGCAAGTGGTTGAATCCCAAGTGTTTGTGCACCACTCAATTCAGATTTAGCAGATTTCAAAGAAGACGACATTCTACACCCAGTTTGGATTGATATTTTGGTAAAGAGTGCATGGGGAAACACTCCGCTAGAGAGGGGCCCAATTCCACTGCCTTTAATTTCCACTGTGTACAATTCAATACCTTCCCCAGCTTCTTATCGGTTGAACCCTTGATCAAAGACCCACAAACTTCAATTCACTGGTACTATTTTTGTAGTTGCCATACAAGATAGTTCACTGTACATGCTACATAATGTACATACATGTAGATGTACATGTACTGTGTGCAGTGTATGTTTTGGGAAGTCAGTCTGCCATAAGCACAGAATTGCAGCCCACTAAGTCTGCAAATTTTAAGTTGAGTTTACCCATTTGAAGTTTGTCTAGAGAAACCTGATGGAAGAATTCTTTTTCAGGAACCTCAAGCAGACGCACTTTGCTCTGCCAGAGGGACAAAACCCACTTAGCTCTGAACACCTGATAAGTTTTGGGTTTTACTTCAAAACTTTCTTTTTGTTTAAACCAGGAGGATTAAATGCACCATCCCAGTATTTAGTAGTAATTGCAATGTTTTCATAGAAATAGTATATATATGATATGAATCAATATGTCTGTTGTTTCTTTTCATTAATTCTGATAAAAATGAATGAATGAAGATGTTTCATATATGTGTGAATAGTAGAAGAAAGTCAGAAATCCTGTTTGTATTAGCTTTTGCAGCTACTAGACCCCCCTTTCTAGATGCTTAAAGGCTTCATCCTAGCATGCCCAGACTTAAGTTTGTGCTAGTTTTATTTGCTAATATGGGGTCATGTGGCCTAGCGATTAGTGTTTGTACCTTCTGATCTTATATACATGTGAAATTTGTTAATCTAAGTGTTTAGTTTTAAGTAGTCCAACTTTCTAATATTTGTATTCCTTATTTTTTCTTCCTAATTTTAGTAGGTTTAATCTATTTTGTAGAAATGTACACACTTTTTATATTGATGTTTTTGAGATTTTTAACACGGCCCCTTGAAAAACAGCTCTGGCTGAATGGGTTTACGGTGTATATAAATAAGAATAATAAATCATACACGTAGGGTTGGGGGTTCGAATCCAGCTGGTGGCAACATGTTGCGATCTTGGGCAAGTCACTTACTGCCATGTGCCATCCAGGAGTAAAATAGGTACCTGTGAGGGCAGATTAAGTTTTGCTGTGTGTGCTTGATATGGCAGTGTTTCAGAAAAACCTTGTCATGAAACCACTGAGAATAATTTATTGTCTATTTTCCCCTGGATGGGATGCCAGTTCATGATGGGTCGCTCCCTAGCCACTGTGGGCGAACATATTTACTCCAGGTGGATACGAATTTATTTTCCACACTGATGACATCCTGGTGAAACCAGCAGAACCGGCTGAACCAGTGGAACTATTCTGTCATTCATTGACCTACTCATCTAGCTATGCACTTCCATAACACTGATGAACACACTATTCCCTTCTGAATTTAAAATACATTGTATCTTGATCTAATTTGTCAACTTGTTTCAATAGGACCTTTCCTATGTTCATTCCTGATCCCCTGAGACCCCAAGCTACATGTAACACCGATGAGGTCGAAAATAACAAATAAAATAAGCATATTGTTAAGCATAAACAAAGAGAGCGTCTAATCTCGGCTGTCTCATTGATCCTAAAAGACTGTCGCCCGGATGTTTAGAGAAAACATAAGATTAATTCGTAGTATTTGGACTACAACTGCCTATACAATCTCTGGACATCATCGTTTGACTGATGAGTGAGTAAGAGGATTAAAATGAATGTACAAAGAAACTTCAGAAGTTTGGTAACCTGTTATTATTACAAATGAAAAAAAGAGAAAAACGTGAACATTTCTTTGGTACTCTGTAAGCATTAACTAAGATTAAGAAGAACTTTTTTTATAGTTTCCTTTCCTTTGGCACTGAGCTTCATAAGGGTGGACTTTTGAGTAGCATTCTGACAGAATAGTTCCGCTGGAATGCTAACTAGTGTGGAAAACAAAATTTGAGTCATTAGGAGTAAGAATAGGTGCCCATAGTGGCTAGGGAGCGACCCATAATGATCTGGCATCCCATCCAGTGGAAAATAGAAAATATTCTCAGTGGTTTCCTGACAAGGAAACTAGATATGAACACCCATCTGACAACTCAATTGGCTCGGGACCAGACTTACGGGTATTGAACACAGGTGGCCTTGTGTTCTGGTACGTGGGCTATGGTTACAGGGAACATGTGCTATTTGGTACTGGAAGAGGTTACGTAACGTTGGCATCGATGTAGCTTCATTGGTCTTTCTTCATCGGTCTTTCGTCATCGCTCTTTCTTCATCGATCAAAAGAGATCGATCGATTGATGTAGGGAACAATCAATCGGTGTAAGGAACGACCAATCGATGTAGAACAATGATCGATCGATGCAGAAGAACAATCGATCGATGTAGGGAAACGATCGATTGATGAAGGGGAACAATCGATCAATGTGTTGCCTCCAAGTTTTTGCCTCTTTGGCGTTCCATACTTATCTGCTTGCGCAATTAAGCCAGTGCTGCTTTCCACTGCCAAAATGGACCACTAGCCAAGGCTAGTTATTAAATTTGTCCTGGCATTGTAAAATGCCAACCAAAACTAACAAGTTCACCCACCCAGGATTGGAATCCGAGTTGGCCTTCTCTAAGACAGATGGCCAACCAAGGCTAACAAGCTTCAACATTCCAGAATAACCGATCATTGTGCCAGAGACTGATACCTATGCCATTCAGTTGAAATGGCAGTTGGCAAGAAGTTAAAACATATCAAAAATTGATTAACAAAAATGTTTTTGCATAAAATATTAAGCTTCCTCTGTCACTTTGTCAACCGTTTAAGAGTGGCAGTGTGGACCTACAGAGCAATGACCAAATTGTCTTAGGTATCTCTGAATTTGCTGTAATCATTACTAGTTCATTACACAAGGAAATGATAAATGTTTTTCAAAGCAATTAGTTTTTGAGACATTCAAATGGTATCATTTTTTTTTATTTATCCAGGACAAGAACAACAACTCAGCGTGCACTAATTCTTGTGAACCATGGAAATGTTCCAACTGTAATCAGATGTTTGGCACATTTTCTCTGCTGGAACAGCACTCGTGTGAATCCAAGAAAGCTAAACCTGGCCGAAAACAGAAGGTTAAGAGATCGCATAGCAGGTTCATTGTGAGGCAGTCTCAAGTAAATGTACAACAGATGGAGGGGAAAAAAGACAATCAAGTCAACAAAGAAGGCATTGCTGGTCCTTCAAAGTCACGAGTCAGAAAAGAACCACTGACGTTTGCTTGTCATCTCTGCTCAAAGGTGTTTTTAAACCATGATAAACTCAAGACTCACAGTTACATGCACACAGGAGAACGCCCATTTCTGTGCACCAATAGCCAGTGCACAAAGGCTTTCGTCTCAAAGTATAAATTGCTGCGCCATATGACTACACATTCCCCAATGAAAATTCATATATGTTCATATTGTGACAAAAAATTCCACCGAAAGGATCACCTCAAAAATCACTTACAAACACATGACCCCAACAAAGCATCTTTTAGGTGCAGCTTTTGTGGCAAGATGTATAACACAAAACCAGGATTCAAGAAGCACATGGCACTTCATGCTGCTGCATCTGGTGAGCTGACTTGTAGAATCTGTGATAAAGACTTTGGAAATACACCAAATCTATTAGAGCACATCAAATTTCATTCAGGAAAGTCTAGTGGAGCTAAGGAGAAGAAGCATCGATGTGAACACTGTGATAGACAGTTTTACACAAGAAAAGATGTGAGACGGCATATGGTTGTACACACAGGTAGAAAGGATTTTTTATGTCAAGTTTGTGGGCAGAGATTTGGACGTAAAGATCACCTTGTTAGACACACAAGAAAAAGCCATGACAGCATTAACACACAAGTTAAATTAGATGAGCAGGTCATCAGCCCTGCAAAAATTCAACAGATGCTACATAATCATCAATTTCAAGGACAACTCCATCCTTTTACTCAAGAGAGTCCTTTGCACTGTTCTGTTGGACAGATAGCACCCTCCTCCAACCAGCTGACTGAATTGTTAAAAATTCCTCCTATGCCATCTCCTAAATATATAAACAAGATGTCACATGAAATTAATTCACCAGTAAAGCAAACTTTGAGAACAAGTTTGAGGGATAAAGTACAGATGATGGCAACAGTAGACTCAGGAAGTCTAAATCTTAGGAATATTACAGGGGAGTCACTCTGCATGAGATCAGTGGACTTAGGGCAAGATATAGGTACTGTGCCAGTCCAACAAGTGAGTCAACCTCTTGCATCCTCTTCCATGCCCTCCGCCACAATGTCACCATCTCCCACAGCACCAATTCAACTAAGCCAAGAACCAACTTGTCAGCTTCAACAGCACCAAACTCATCTTCAGCAGCTTCAGCAACCCAGTTTTCAGCAACAGACAAAACTTCCTAAGGAGCATGTTCCTCCACAGCAGCAGCAGTTGCAAGCAGGACATTCTTCCCACTCTTTGACAGAAACCACTAACAGCCATTCTTGTTCAAATATATTACAAGTACCGTTTGTGGGCTTGCGTTCTTCTCTTCCTCGATTCCATCAAGCTTTTCAGTAAATGAAGTAAACGAAGTTGAAATTTGTCAATGAAATGATATAAGCTAACTTGAGTATAATCTAAACAATAAAACCTACTGAAAGTCTCATAAATCCAATACATTCACATGAAGTGTTCTCTCTGTTCACTAGTTGTGCATAACATTACCGGGGCAAAACAAAACATATTTAACTGTGTAAATATATACATGTATGTAAAATAAACTTTAAACAGATTTTTTTTGGGGGGGGTTGTGAGATGACTACCAACAGGTCATTGTGCCTGAGATGCAGCTAATATAAGTAGAAGTTTTGTGTTTAGAATTACTGCAGCCAACAAATGTTACCTTTCTGAAGTGTATTTTAGTGCATGCATTGTAATTCGAAAGAAGATTAAGCATTTGCTGATGGGGAGCCCAGTTTCAGAGACGTTGGCTTAATATGCACAAACAGGGTGCCCAAAATCGGACAAAGGGAACTTGCCCTTTTAACAAAATACTGTACTCAGAACAAAAGACCAAGCTGCTGGGAATTTCCAACATTTTTCAGTTGGCAGTAGCGGAGGAAATACGTCATTGTTTTGAAAGATTATACCACTGTTTGTGGCATTCAGCACTAGTGGATTACCACTGTGGACAAAAGCGCTCCAGTGATGAGCGATACAATACCACTGCACGCTAATCTGGCCCCTATTGAAAAGACACTGTGCCAGTTTTGGGAACAAAAGAAAATTACATAACACCGCACAATCTGAGCTCTTTTTACAAGGTGGCAGGCCTAGCTGAAATACTCTGTTTATCAGATTAGAGTGGCCACCCGAGAATGTCTAGTAAATGAAGTTGTGAAGTTTTAAAGAATTTTGGAAACAGAAAAAAAATGAAACATCACCCGGTCCAGCAGAATCAACATGGATAAATGGCCCGGCAGGAAGTGGTTAAGTTATATTCCATGTTTATGTGTTTATGCTTGGCATTGGATTTTAATCTTTATTGACAAACCTAACACATTACTAACTGATCAAAAAGTTTGTTTTAATGTATATACATGTAGACATGGAAAAATGCAGTATTCAACCAGAGAGGGAAAACTGGCTCTGCCTAATATAAATGAGACAGTGAGATTTTTGCTGAAATCACTTATGATATGATGATATCCCACTTATGTTATGATGCAACGTAGCATCAACCATTGTCAGATCCAAGATTTGTACTGAGTAGCTATGGATCAAATTCTGCTTGTGGTCTAATATGCCCCCCACTTTCAGTTACTACTTTTTCACTCAAGAATGATGTGGAACCCAATACACCACACTTTGATTTCATGTAGACTTCCCTATGAGAACTTGATAACTCACGTCCAACCTCATTGCCTCGCTGTAAACAAAGCATGGCATTATGTTACAGGTCTGTTATAACATGTACAGTCCGAATCTGTATTCAAGTCTATCACAAGTCTTGTCTCAGTACCAGTCACAAGCACAGCCACAAGCCCAGTCACAGGTAGCAGCTTGAACAGTGTCAAATGTTTTTGTCAAAGTTCATGCAATGGAATATCTTGGGACTAGGTAGCTGGATGAATCATGATGGACTAGTGATGAGCTTGACCACAAGTTGGTTACATTTGTCAACGGTTTTGTACCTGGTTCAAATGTTATTGAACCTCACATTATTACAATTATATTCAGAGATGGGCATAACTTAAGCGGGGAAACATTCATAATAGCAGCAGAGTAACAAACAAGCAGTAGAAAGCGGTCCTTTCTGAGGCATATTCTGTTTTCCCCTTTCCCCTATTTTCCCCTCCCCGGGCTCCCTTTTTTTTCTCATATATGTGTGTATAATCTTGTTTACTAACAGTCTCATGTTTGACAGCTCAGGTACATAAAATACTAAATTTTAGGGTTCATGATAAAAACTTATCTATGTGAATTGTGGCTGTGGGTCCTGAATGACAGGTTGGATACTGGATGGTTACTTGAATGTTGAAACATTGGAACTATTTTACTGCTAGGAGGAAGAGTATCTTAATGAAACGAGTTCAGTTTAAGTATACTGGTACCGTATTTCATCTTCTCTTTTGCAATTTGTATTTTGTGACAGGCGCTACACCATTACTGTCATATCAACAGTGTCATCTATAATTGGCTATCTATTTACTTTTTGCTATGCCTCATAACTAAATCTGCTTTACATATCAAACAGCATACAGTCAGGCCAAAGAGCAGTCATTGGTGGTGGTTTTGTTGTGTTTTGTTTCTGTTTGGGGTCTTGGTTTGATTTGCTGATCCATTCAGGGAATTTTGTGCTGTGTTTGATGGTGTTGCATTAAATAGTGAAGCACTGTGTTACATTTTGTGATTTCTTCATGATTGAGACATAGCCTTGATGTTGATTGTCATGTTGACCAGGTATATAAAATGGTCTATCAAAAGGAAATGATCTGTAACATTAACCTTTGGCTGTGACGTCACTTTTGTAATGTTTAAAACGTGTGTAGATATGTAGATATATACAGATATTGAGTCATACCTTTCAAACATTTAGGAAGCTGTTTGAAATATATAGTGGTGTAAATTGATCAATAAGCCTCATAACTGCTTTGAAATGTATTCTTATGCATCATGTCATTAGAGAAACAAAATATATGCTATTTGTATATTTGAAAAATATTAAATGCTTTCAATTTTTAACATTAATACCTCACTCCATATAGCAGCGATATTCTCATTGTAACAGTATTGAATAAAAAAAAATAAATTATTTATGTTTACACATTACTTCGGCAGCTTTATCTGAAATGGTTTTAAATATGTGAATTCATATTTATTGTGCATATTAATCCGTTTTTATACAGTACAAGTGTGTTGGCGTACTGTTATTTTGCATTTGATTCCTGTAAAACGCAATAAGTCGTTTTAGATGCTACAGTATATACCTGGTGAAAAAAGTGAATTTTGAAGCTGAAATGGGTCCGACAAAGAAAATGAATCTTGCCTTCTGATTTTATCCATTGTTTCACTTCTGTTATTAGCTTTTACTATTTTGTAATCAATAAAGTGTTCTTTATTTTTTTTATTGTCATTTTTAGATTTTCGTATGAAATATACTTTTGATACTTTCTTGGTGCAGGTTTAATATGATCGGGTAACATGTAATTTGTCATGTAATTAGAAAGAAACTTACTGTGGATGTGATGTTATTATTAAAGTATCACTTCTTGGAAAACTAATATGTACATTAACCCATAAATTTGTGTATATAATGCAGTCTTCAATTTGAAGGTTGAAGAATTCATAAATTTACTTGCACTTGTACATTGATAGAGTTGTACTAACATTCTATGTGTTAATATAGAAAAATAGGGGGATACTCAAATGTATTAAAGTCTGCCTATTTACGTTTCCCATTTGCATGAGTGACTTACTGATAATTCATGGTGTATGAATCATTTGTCAAATGTATGTCACTATACTGATACCTGGGAAACAACTGTATTTTACATATGATATATATTAGTAAGTTTCAGTTTTCATAGTTATAATCGAATCCTACATAAACAAACTAAAAGCACGTTTTCAAGTCTGTAAATTGTCCTTTGAAGGTATCATTGTTATAAGACTATGGGCGCATTGCCTTCTGACATACAATTTATCATTTTCAACTTTTTTCCATCTTGATACTGTGTACTCAGGGTATGCCCCCAAAGGCTTGTAAAAAAAAACCACAAGCGTACTTGGGTGTGACTCAAACCCATGACCTCCTGCTTTCACAAGGGGACGTACACTGAGTATACAGTGTTAAAATACATCTCGGGCAGGGCAAAAAATCTGAAAATTAATTTACCTCTCCCCACGGCAAATCTGTCCTTGAAATTTTTCCATCTTATTTTCCACACATCCAGCATTTTGGTGAGGCATTTGCAGTGAGACACTTAACTTTGAAACAGGTGATTGTACCTTGGGTTACAAAGCCTGCTGAGCTGATATGGAATATTGTGCAGTTTGAGGTAATTTGTACATGTATTTCTGTAGTTGTTAGTCTGCATTCAAATATTAAAGAACCAGGATATGTTATCAGGATGGTGTGTTTATTACAATTTTGATTTCATAAATTTAACATTAACATTGTTTAGACCATCCTTAAAGGTATCCAAACATATTTGTGGAAATATGTTCACTTCAACTTTTCTCTCAGTTATCTCATGTATTTTTCAGTATGTCTTCCATCAAATCAAATGCAATGTCTTTGTGGTGTAGGGATATCAGGGTATTTAAAGGACAGGAAGGTTTTCACCACAGCATTTGTTACATTTTAAGTAGTTTTCAGTTGCAACAAATGGCTTGGTGCTTTTGGACCTGATGTGATGTGTTGACAGTTATATGATTGCAACTTGAGACAGGATATGATACTCCTTCCAGATAATACAAAAACACAACCTAGCAAATCTATACAATTGTAACATTTACATGTATTGTATTGTATCAGCTTCATGAATTGTTGATATGCAGTATTGATTTTTGTCTGATTATTTTGAAAGAAAGACCTCAACATTGCAAAAATTATCTGAGAATTTGTGCAATTTGTTAATTTCAATGGCTTGGGTGGGAAGACTGATCGTCATTGGTTTTCCGGGCATCCGCCATATTTTTTTAATTGTTTGGTTGATTGATCTGTTGGGTGTTTTTCCCACAAAAAATGATAATAATTTATTTGATTTTTATTTCATCCTCTCCATTGTTAACCTGTTAAAGAGTGTGTTACATCCTAATGTTAAATTATAGGAACACTACCTACACACTTAACAGAAAAAAAGTCATACAAACGTGTACAAACTCTAAGAAATGCGAAATACATTTTGAATGGGGCATTTCTTTTGTTTTTTTCCAAATTTATCGGTGTTGGAGCAATAGCTTTTGTCCTCATCAAGCTAGAGGCCCCCTTCTATTATTACAAACTACTATTACTAGAGGCCCCCTCAAAAAAGTATCAGTTATTTTCTATCTTTTATTTGCCCACAATTTGTTAGGCAGTGAAAGTTTAGGGGAAAGTTACTCTTCGGTGGTTTTAAAATTTTACCTCAAATTCATTCAATATGTACATTTCTTACATTACATCTAAAGAGAGTTATATGTTCATTTATCACTGAGTAATGCATGTATTATTAACTGGTGTTTTGATGGCTGCGCGGGATTTTTAACACTTTTATGAATTATTTTTTAAGCTTGTACCGACAGCCAGGCATAATGAATGAGGCACAGGGAAAAATAGGGCTGGATACCTATAGGAGGATAAGGAAAAAATGTGCCTGGATGTAGTACCCTCACATTTCTACTACTTCTTGCTCACGCAAAAGGAAATCTGAGCGTACTCTGAGTCACCCGACCGGCAAATCTGAATATCATTAAATTTCAAAACAGCCTCTTGCACTTGAACGAACTGCAAATTCCCCACCCCTCATAAATCCCAAGAATGCACATAAGAAGGCGGATTGAAATAATGCGAACCTCATACAGGGAGGAGCAA